AACTTGTTTATGCACGACATATTGAACCATGAACACTCAACATGTACAAGACTAGCAGTTTTACGGTGTAGACAGTCATGCGAAATACGCTTGTCAATTTTTACGTAGCTCCTTCATTCCTCAGTTACTAACAAAAGGCACAAAAAATTGTCAAGTGTTGATAGTGTTCACGGTTCGAGTGTCCTCGTTATAAAACTACTGGTAAGCCCAGAAAGTTTTGTTTGTTGTACGAAGTGCTAATCTTTGTTACATGATTACCTAAGAGGTGTTTTTTTTTTCCTTAGCTTCACGGTGGGGATGTTGAAAATCAGAATGCCACACCGGAAAACATCAGATGATCAACATATATTTACAACATTGTTCATTACAGAGCCTAAATTAAAACATGTACAGTTTGCATTCATGAATTCTTCACCCGAGGTAATGGCCAAGATTGGACTTAGTCAATCGAGAAAATTGTTAATATGGTGCTGCCCAGTTTTGTTGCTTGTTTGTATATAGGGGAATCTTTGCTGATGTCATTGTTTACATTTTTCCTCATTAGCATACGACTTGACTCATAGAAGCCGTGGCCGTATATATGAACTAAATGGAAAAGTTGATAAAGCTGATTAAGTTGAGCAATTTTGTGCAACTTTCAGCTCTTTGCAAGCAAAATTGAAGGAAATACCAGCCATCAAAAACTAAAAAATTGCTGTGTGGCAAAAAAGTTAAAGAGCCATACATTTCTCTGTAAAATTTCGAGTTTTTAGAAGAGAATTTCTCCAAAACCATTCCGTGTATTGGGCTCAAATTTTCAGAGGTATCTGAAACTGTTATGCCCTTTCAATATTCAGAGTTTTTCTTTGATTAGCGTCATCAGATAGTGATAAGCAAATGCTAATGAGGCAAAAAGTGTAAACAAAGATTCGCCTATAGCTTAGTCAATGTCTTCACTGTTGAAAATAAGCAGTTCTGCATGGTGGGGAAAAACTGAGATTATTTGAAACAGCATTTAAGTTTCATTCAGTTCGTTTCATTCAGTTCGTTTCATTCAGTTCGATGCCATACTGTAAGTTTTCCACATCGATTTATGGCCGTGACAAACACACAACGAACATGGCACGCGAACTCACTAGCGTAACAAAGAGGCACTAACCAAACAGTGCGCAGTTAGCTGAAGTAGAAATCAAAACAGTTGCAATGACACTTATGCTGATGGTCCTCTCACAAGTATTTAACTCTGAGATATTGTCATTTGATTTTGTACAATTTCTTTTGTCACGTCTGAGCAATTCCTGCTCTCCTCAGTAAGTCTTCAGTACTACTCATTAACACGCGGTGGAAAGAGTGTAGCATGCGTACGATGAGAACTAGAATATGCGTAGTTGATTCATTATCATCGTCATCATTTATTTCAGTTGCTTTACAAAAATATATTTCAAAATTACAGCAAATTAAACAAGGTGAGGAGACCCAGGAAACCACCAGACTTAGGGAAGGCTATCTCGATTGTCGATCTTTTTTAATTATAAAGATTCTTAATAATATTCTCGGGACTTTCCAAATAAGTTTATTTCTCCAAAGACTTTTTTATTTTCGAAATTTGTTATAAATACGATTAATGAGTAATTGGTCCTCGTGTCGTACAATTTAGGGAGAAATCGTGCTCGTAATTTTAAATCGGCCTCGCGCTTCGCGCTCGTCAGATTTTGAAATTACTCCCTGAATTGCACGACACGAGGACCAATTACTAATATATAGATTTAGCCAAGCCTGAAAGTGAAGCTCGTGGGCCGAGTTGTACCCAGGCCGGATAAGCGAGAATTTTGATTGGAGTAATTAGTTTTGTAACTTTGCGGTGATGTTTTCTCTTTATATTGTTTGGCCTTCGGTGTTGAGTTGGAGTAATCTCAAACTACACAAAACATTATCATTTAAACTCTTGGTCTTCGGCCATCGTAGCTTGCTTAAAAATATGAAACAAACAGCGGTGATTAACATTTTAAAAACCTGCATTTTATGAACTTAACGTTTCGTATGCTAGTCAACATACATTTTCAAAAGTATAACCGTTAAAAATTTTTTGGAAAGCTATTTATACTGTATCGATGGGGTCTGGAACCTAGACAGAAAAC